GCACAAAACACTTTCTTCTTGCAACATTTTCCCCACAAGGCCCTAAACAGGATTGTTCACTCTTCTTGAGTGCAAGGCAAGTTAACTATTACACTATGCTTATATATAATATAATTTAATTGATGCATGTGTAAAAAGGTGTTAAACGGGTCATGAACTGCCTTTGTTATTATTTTGTACTGTTCTCTGAGGTCCACTTATAATGTTATCACGATATTTACATCAAAAACATAATATTTTAGCAGTAATGGGCTATTTTCTGTCCTGTTTTGGCCTCTTCTTATTCTTCTTCTTCCGTTTTTTTTGGCGTGTAACCATCCTACTTTTGCTGTTATGCAGTCATGGTTTATTTATAATCAATTTCTTCCTTGTTTTTGCTTTTCCTATTCTTACACACGTATATACACAAATATTCCTACTTAAATAATTATTCGATGTTCCACCTTGCACTGCGTGTTCAGCTGTTTTGATTGTGCAGTTGTGTATGTTTGAAAGCCTACATCCTTCACAGATGGATGCTGCTGTGATTTAAGTTAAAAACTCAAATACTCAGCACATCCAATATAGTCGGCGAAGAATCGTCTTTTAATTTCAAATCTTTCTGAAAATCCGGCGTCGAATTGTGTCTTGTTTGTAAACGAATCCGCAGTGAAATGAAGTGAACAAAAGACCAACCTTTTACTAATGTGTCTATAACATCATTAAGAAATCAAACTAATCCACTCTTTCCTGTTGGGACCCAATGGAAGGCTATGCAAAGACTGTGTTTGTCCACAATTTGGCACTACGCAGCGTCTTGTTATCTTCGGAGCCATCTTTTTCGTTTGGTTTGGTTTCTATGGAAGCATATAGGTAGCGAAATTCAATTTAAAATGCAATATGTAAAATGGCAATGCAATATTCAAAATGGCATTGTATTTCTGTATTTCAATTTACATTTTCCATTACCCATACGTGCAAAGTTTGGTGCAAAAGTAAAATTAAAATTAAATTTTATAATTTACATTTGCCATTTCCAACAGTAGTCTTAATATGTAAATTGCATGCACATTTGAACGCTTTATAAGTTGCAAAATGAAAATGAAAATGTATAACACAAATTGATTTGATATGTGTAACATGTTCAAGCAGAAATTGTAGCAAAATTCAATTTGAAAATGCATTCCGAGCTGACCACGCCCACCCTCCGTCACTCATTGCTTCAAGGCGGGGATTGGCGGAAGCGTGGTACGTTTGGATCGTTTGAAACATGGCTGCTGGAGATCTGATAAGATCGCTGAATTCACTGGCAGATGAAGTGGAGCGTGAACAGAGAAATATATGAAGCGTATTCCATGCTAAAATCAAACGTCTAACCGTCTTTGAGCGTCTTACACTGCGGGTGACCCACGTGACGCCAGCGTCTTGAAATTAGCTGGTGTTTAAACATTTAAGGAGCCAAGCTGCTGTGTAAAAACTATAAATGGACATTACAAGCATTACAATAATGATAGTTTGTACCTAAAATAATACTCAACCATTTCCTGCATCCTGCTGTACTTCCCTGAATAAGTCTTTAAAGGTGTTGTAGGCTAATAAGTCGCTTTGAGTAATAAATTGAAAAAGCTCCCACGTGTATATGACTAAACAAAATAACATGTAGTTTACTTGAGGTTCTGTTATAAATGTGTTTATTAGAAACATTCATTTAAATTAATTAATTATACAAAAAATGTTTTATTTATCATTATTGTAATGCTTGTAATGTCCATTTATAGTCTGGAATACTATGGCGTCCGAACGCCATAAGCTTCATAAATTTCTCTGTTCACGCTCCACTTCATCTGCCAGTGAATTCAGCGATCTTATCAGATCTCCAGCAGCCATGTTTCAAACGATCCAAACGTAACACGCTTCCGCCAATCCCTGCCTTGAAGCAATGAGTGACGGAGGGTGGGCGTGGTCAGCTCGGAATGCATTTTCAAATTGAATTTTGCTACAAATATCCCACGGCGTCATGATGAAAATGCAATCCTAAGTGTTCTAACTGTTAGTCTAAATGCATTTAGGACAAATAGCATTTAAATGATAATTTTGCTACAATTTCTGCTTGAACATGTTACACATATCAAATCAATTTGTGTTATACGTTTTCATTTTCATTTCGCAACTTATAAAGCGTTCAAATGTGCATGCAATTTACATATTAAGACTACTGTTGGAAATGGCAAATGTCAATTATATAATTTAATTTTACTTTTGCACCAACCTTTGCACGTATGGGTAATGGAAAATGTAAATTTAAATACAGAAATACAATGCCATTTTGAATATTGCGTTGCCATTTTGAATATTGCATTGCCATTTTGCATATTGCATTTTAAATTGAATTTCGCTAGCTATATGCTTCCATAGGTTTCTGTGTAGACCTGCGTTTGTCTTTCGTTATTTGCACTACGTGATTTATTAGTGATGGGACGATTGATACTGAGGCTCTGATGCTCCGACGCCGTTTTCAAAGCATTATTGTATCACACACTGTGCCGATGCTTGTATCAAAATGACAATACCACGTGATTGATGACGTTTGAAGCTTCGAACGTCATGCAGTACCGGAAGGTCGGGACAGCTGCTTCGCATGACTTTTGTGTTTGACTTTACATTGACTTGGTTGTGTGCGTGTATGTGTGCAGTGTTGGGGAAAGTTACTTTTAAAAGTAATGCATTACAATATTGCGTTACTCCATAAAAAAGTAACGAATTACGTTACTTGGTTACTTTTTATGGAAAGTAATGTGTTACGTTACTTTTGCGTTACTTTTTAAATCTGGACAGGGCTTGCTTGTTTGTTTTTAAAATAAAAAAAAAATATTTTTGGCAAATATAAAAGCCTTTTCACACCAAAAGTGAAATGAATAAGCCTCAGGCTGAAGGGAAAGTCAATTTACGGCCGTACAGTAGAATGCAGAAGAAGAAATTTCAACACACTTCAGCAATAAAAAAAGACACAAATGTTTGTCTAGAGTAATTTTTGCTTATTAGTACGGTTGAACTGGATCATCGAAGGTCAGAAGCAAAGACATTGGTTAATAGAATGGGATTAAATACATAAACGATATTTGTGTTGTTTAACATTTAATTATTGCAGGTTTGCGTTATATTCTGAGTTGCATTATTTTTATTCATTTTGAGGAATACTGAATCTGTTTTTTTTTGTGAGTGAGATGAATTAATGCATATTAATTCATCTCACTCACAAACATTTTTTGTAGAACTACAGTAACATCTTCTGATTTCTCAACATGGAGACAGGAGAGCTGTCAATCAAGAAATTGAAAAAAAGTAACTTGAGTTACTTATTTGAAAAAGTAACTCAGATATTCTCTTGTAAATTAAAAAGTAATGCGTTACTTTACTAGTTACTTGAAAAAGTAATCTGATTACGTAACTTCGCGTTACTTGTAATGAGTTACCCCCAACACTGGTTATAAAGCATTACAGTTGAGGTATCAGTCGTGCTGTTGCTATATGGTTACCTCATCACGCGAACTCGAATTTACGAGGAATAGTTTAGAATAACCTCAACACCAGACAGAAACTGAATGCACGTCACACCTCTAATGCATTTTCTCATGTTCTAGCTGGGGCCTCAGAGACCCCGAACAGCTCTCCCAAAATATTTTTGCTACAACTCACGTCAGTTTATTAATTATAATCACACACTTGTATATTTTATATTATTGATCAATGTGAATCCATTGACCGAACTACGCATGACACGAGTTGGCACAGATTTAAAAAAAATATTCAAACCATTCTCTGCTCCGCATGTTTCGTTAGATAGAAACCGAGTCTGACCACCAGATGTCGCTAATGCGCACTGTGTTAAAAAGCTTCAAGTAATGAACCGTTTTTCGGCACAATTTGATGAAAGCCTCAAACGGTTCAGAAAGCCTCGGTTTCTCATCACTACTACGTGTGTGAATCAGTGGGCGGAGCTAAACAGGCAGTGATGTAGAAGCAGGCGTTGATCTTCTGCAGAGGCAGGGTTTACTCACTCTATTATGTCATAGAGCAGCACATTCCACAAGCTGTTGTTTTGGCAGATTGGCTTCAATATAAGCTGTTTTTAGACTAATGAGAAAGTTTTGATTTCTGAAACTTACATGATGTTTTTATATGACCTCTTATATGTCAAAAGATCAAGCGAATTGTGATTTCTCAGTTCATGACTGCTTTAAATAAGTTATATTATATTCCGCTTCTAACAGTGGGGGAACAAATTGCTTGGGTTTATTAACCTTGTAAAAAGCACGAATATTTACAAAGGGAATAAATACAAAATGAGTCAGACATGCTGAAATAGCAATACATCAGTGTAAACCGTGCTGACACACACCCCACCAATGGAAAAAGCCATTGATAGCTCCAATCTGCAGCAGTATTGACAACATTATGTTGGAAACATCCATTCAGCAGAATAAAACGGTAGCATGAGCTGAAGAGGGTCTTATTTTGAATACAACTTTCACAACAGGAAAGCTCACAGGAATGATATGGCAAGATTTTTTCTATTATCATGCATTTCCTCATGATGGATATATTTCCAACACAACAGAGCTAAACTGATCCATTGATGGCATGCAGTTCACCATAAAGATACATTTAAATTAAGTGACGTGCAGAATATCTAGTTCTTATGCCACTTGAAACTTTTTTTTTTCATTTGAGAATCTGTTGATTCGCATAACACAAATCATATATTTAATTCCAAATCATCACTAATATTGCAAGAAGAACATTTGAGATCAGCATTACTAAATGAATGCATTACTTTATTTTTTTTAAACACAATATAAAAAAATGGCACCAACCAAATTGGCATACTATGACACTTGAAACTAATAATAAGCCATTAGAGGTTGCCGTGACAACTGATTGGTCTGAGCTAATAATCTAGTAAACTGTGATTGGTAAGTGTTAGAGGCAGGCACTATACAGTTAAGGGTTTAGTAATAAAGCTACATGGTTGGGTAAAAAGTTTTTATTTTTCGTAGTTGTTGTACTGAGTGGTGTTGATGATAGATTTGGCTTCATATGGGTACTACTACGATGCAATTTTTAAGGTATGTTTAGTTTATGGGTTTGTTGGTTATTTTTTTTTTAAGATTTACTAAAACCAGTTAAAGGGGTGTTTTTTTTTGTTTGTTTTTTTTTTGTTAAAGGGGGGTTTTGCTGTTACTAACACTAAGTGTTTTACAGTTTTTCTTTGGCAGTGTTTTTAAGCCTTGGTGTTCATGACGGCATTTGGACTGGTAAGTTTTTATTTAGTTAAATTATGTAACTGAACCTTGTCAACATTGTCTTTGATGCCTCTTGTCTTTGTTGCAGTTGATGGCTATAGCTTTGTCAGCAATGCAGGCAATCCTGGATATTATAACCCTGATATACCAAAAGATGGTCGACCCATGCAGGATGATGTTAAACTACAACGTTTTTACACCTGGTATGGCCCAGGAGATGTTGCTGGACCAATCAGGCCTCGGAGTTCTAGGAATATAATTTATAGTGCTGCAGTTAATGGAGGCTATGGTTCTGGAAGCTACAATTCTCAGACTAGCTCTTCAGGTGGTCCAGTGACCAGTGGAAGTTCTGGTTCAGACACTAGAAGCCAGCTTCAGGACTCTCAACGTGCTTCAGTTGGAAGTGGTAGTCTTGTGGGTAGTGCAGCAGGTATGGGCATGTCAGGGTATGGTGTAAGTCGGTCAGTTAGTATTCAAGGCTCTGACACTATCCGTTCTTCCATGGTCTTGATGCCATTGCAAAGTAGTGATTCTGTTCCTAAGCCAGAGCAGCTAATGTACCAAATTCCTCTGCAGACCAGCAATGACTCTGTGGCAGAGCCCGGCAGTCAAACGCTAGTGCAGACAATCTCCCAATCCAGTGGTCCGCAATCAGGACAAGCCAGCTCTGGAACCATGGCCCAGTCTAGCACCCTGCAGTTAACCCAGACCGGTGGCCAACAATTGGCACAGGCCAGCTCCCAGTCTGCAAGGCAGTCAAATAGAGGGCCCCTTGAGCCTCAGAGAGATCGACTTTGGCAAACTGGTTCTAGGCTTTTTTCAGGTTCCAGGCCAGTTCAGGATGCAAGCGTTGGGTATTTCAAGCCTTTGCCCCCCAAAAATGAATCCATGTCACTGCCTAGCTACCAAATAGTGCAACACAGCAGTGAGTTGAACAGCCCTCAGCTAGCTCAGGCTAGCTATGCACTTATGAGTCCGTCATCCCGCCAGCAATTAGCCCAATCCAGTGGCCAGCAACCAGTACAAACTAGCTATGAAACTGTAGCTCAACCAAGCAGCCAGCAACTTGCACCGGTCATCCAGCCTAGCAGTGAGCAACCGGCACAAATCAGCTTTCAATCTGTGGCCCAGGGCAGTAGCCATCTAGCACAAACCAGCTACCCATCTGTGGCTCAGCCCAGTGTCCAACCAGCACAAGCCACTGACCTGCCTGTGGTTCAGCCCAGCAGCCAACAACTAGAACAGGCCAGCTCTCAGTTTGTGGCCCAGTTCAGCAGCCATCTAGCACAAGCCAACTACCCACCTGTGGCTCAGCCCAGTGTCCAGCCAGCACAAGCCACTGACCTGCCTGTGGTTCAGCCCAGCAGCCAACAAGTTCAGGCCAGCCAATCTGTTGCCCAGTCCGGTGGACAGCAACCAGCACATGGCAGCTATGTGTCTGAGGCACAGCCCAGTAGCCAACAAGCACAAGCCAACTTCCAATCTGTGGCCCAGGCCACTGACCTGTCTGTGGCACAGCCCAGTAGCCTGACTCCTTTCAAGCCCCAAAAAGGTAGGCTTCAATTTGTTTCCAAGCTATTTTCTGGTACCAGGCCACTCCAGAATCCAAGTCAGAGCTCTGTAGTTCAGTCAAGTAGCCAACGACCAGCACAAGCCAGCTACCAGTCAGTGGTCCAGCAACCAGCATCCGCAGAAGCCGGTTACCCATCTGTGGCTCAACCCAGTATCCAACAACCAGCACAAGCCACTGACCTGCCTGTGGTTCAGCCCAGCAGCCAACTACTAGAACAGACCAGCTCTCAGTCTGTTGCCCAGGCCAGCAGCCAGCAATTCCCACAGGCCACTGACCTGTCTGTGGGTCAGCCCAGCAGCCAACTAGCACAAGCCAGCTACCAATCTGTGGCCCAGGCCAGCAGCCAGCAATCCCCACAGGCCATTGACCTGTCTGTGGCTCAGCTCAGCAGCCAGCAACTCCCTCATGCCGTTGACTTGTCAATGTCCCGGCCCAGCATCCAACAACCAGTGCAAGACAGTGGCCAGTCTGTAGCCCAAACCTCCAGCCAGCAACTAGTTCAGGCCAGCCAATCTGTTCAGTCCAGTGGACAACTAGCACAGGGCAGCTATATGTATGTGGCACAGCCCAGTAGCCTGACTCCTTTCAAGCCCCATAACGGTAGGCTTCAATTTGGTTCTAAGCTCCTTTCTGTTACCAGGCCACTCCAGAATCCAAGTCATAGCTCTGTAGTTCAGTCCAGTAGCCAACGACCAGCACAAGTCAGCTATCAGTCCGTGTCCCAAACGGTTAGGCCACAAGTTGCACAAGTCAGCAGCCAACAGTCACCACAAGCCAGCTACTCTGTGACTCCGCCAAGCAGCCTGCAAACAGCACTATCCCGCTACCAGTCTGTAGTCCAGCATGGTGAACCAATTGTGTTCAAGCCACTGCAGGCCCAAGGGGAACAACTTTATCAGGTTGGCTCCAAACTTTATTCATGCCAGGAGTATGTATTGCAGCCCAGTTACCAGCTTGCAGCCCAACCAGGATGGACTGAATATCAGCCTCCATCCAGACCAGCATCTCCATCCTTAGCTCAGAGCATCAAACCTGTTGTACAACCTAGTTACCAGGTCCCAGTCAAGCCTGGGCAGGACACCTATGTGTCTGTGGTGTCACCCAGCAGCCATGTCCCTCCTGGACCACTGCAATCAACACTCCAGTCCACTTTCAGACTAGCACAACTGCCTGAACAGCCTAGCTACCAACCTCCAGTTCTTCCAAGCCGACAGCCTCTTGCTAAGCACAGACTGCCCAGTTATGGTTCTGTGTCACCGCTCAGTGGACTGCAATCTGGACCTCTGAGGCAATTGCAACAGCCTGGCTACCAACCTCTGGCCAAGCCAAGGCAAGATGTGTATCAGCCCCTAGTTAAGCCTGTGCAATCCAGCTACAAACCCTCAAGCAAGCTAGAACCATCTATCTACCAGCCTCAAATGTTGCCTAGCCACCAGTCACTAGCTCAGTCTGGCTACTCTTCCCAAGTCATGCCAAAACAATCCGGATACCAGGCACAGTCAAGTTCTGAGACAATCTCTCAGTCTGGATACCTGATGTCTTCTATGGCAGGGCAGTCCGGTTCCCAGCCTCAAATGCTGCCTAGCCGCCAGTCACTAGCTCAGTCTGGCTACTTATCCCCAGCCATTCCAGTGCGGTCTCGGTACAAGCCCCAGGTACAGTCAAGTTATGAAACCGTATCGCAGCCTGGGTTCCAAACATCTATGCCTGGGCAGTCAGGTTACCAATCTGTATCCAGATCAAGTTCCCAAGCCCTGGTGCAGCCCAGTAGTCGCTTCGTTTCAAGCTACGAGTCTGCGTCTCAGTCAGTGCAACCTGGGCTTCGGTATCCAGCACTGAATTATCAGCCCGTCACAAACCAGAATGCTCCTGGACCAGCTCAAAGTAGCCGGCATTTGTCCCAAAGCAGATCCAGGTTGTTGCAACAACTGAAGTCATAGCTGTTTACTTGTGTCTGCAGTTTTCTGGTTGTGGATAATGTTCATTTTGAACGTATCAATAAAATGTAATTAGCAAGTATTTCTGTGGGTTTTTAAGTGAAGACTAACTGTCTTACCTTTTGTTGGTGGTTGACAAATCTGTAAAGAAATTGGGTGGAAAAATGTGAGGATTTTGCAAATCTAGTAGTTGACTGATATAACCGTTCCATTGAACATAACTGCTACCCCTGGTTTCACAGACGAGGCTTAAGCCTAGTCCCAAACTAAAACATGTCTGAGCTGTATTAACAAACTTGCACTAACATCTTGTCAGTGCCATGGTTTTGCCTAAAGCTGGTGTTTTTTTTTTGTTTTTTAAATGCACATCCGTAAAATCTGGTTAAATGTCTTAATTGAACTGCAACCTAGTCCTGGGTTTTATCTAATCCCTGTCTGTGAAACCTGGCTTTAACTTTTAAGCAGGTATATGCCAAAATGGTAAGCTCTCTGGCTAAGTATAGTAAGAGCTTGCCTTGAAATGGTAAAAGGTCCCCAGCATGTACTGTAGTTCAGTAATTCCCAATACCAAATGATTTCCCAGGTTAACCAGATGTGTGAAAATGACTGAAAATAGAAACTTACTAGTGTTATGACTGGTACACTCCTGACCAGCAGGGGAAACCGTAGTGACCGCTTGGGATAAGTCATCTGAATATTTTTCCTGAGTCACTTCCAATTCACTTAAATGTGTCTGAGGCTCACTGCATTTTGCAGTCTCTTCTCCAAAGGTAGTCTTGCCCTTTTGTTTGCCGATCTCATCTTTGAATTTATTTTCTCTCTGCTCTTCTTCCTCCACATCCTTCTCCATGTACTGGTGAGATGAAGCTGTTGACACAGGCTCTGTAAAAAAAAAAAAAAAAATGTTACTCCGTACATGTTACACTGTGTGTAGGTCTTTTACTTGCGATTCTATAAAGTGTGTATATATATATATATATATATGACATGATTAATATTTAAGGCATGAAGGTTTTGTTTACATTTACAGCACCTACTCTGTTTACACTGAAAATAAAAATATATATTTTTGTAAATTACATTATTGTATGAAATGCAAGTTTGTATATCACTGGGACATAATATTTTGAACCATAACGCTATAAGATAACATGAAAATGATGTCATCAAGTTGCAATTACAGGCAAGCCTGCTTTGGAATTTAGTGATTTAGCATTTGGGAGGTTTTCCTCCCCCTCCTAAAGCACTATACACAGTTTATTAAACATTCCTTTGTTATCATGCCTATGTAACTGTCAAAAAAAAAGAGCTTCATTTAATGAGTTGCACCATTAATTAAAGACAAAATATTCCCTCATCCCACATTTTGCAGTTTAATGACCTCACAATTGTTTCCTTTATTGGCACAATTTCATGCAGTGACACGTCTGCTGATATTGCCTTTTGGTAGATGACCTCACTGTCCACGAGGAGATGATTGTACAGGAATTACTTGGATTATTTGCAAAACTGCAGGGATAAGGGAATAGATTACAGCTAATAAGGTTTTCTCTGCAGAACACAAATGATGTCACAACCAGGCATACAAAGCAGAATGTCAGTTATGTATTGATGTGTGTTTATTTATTATCCAAAATCTATGTTTGCAATAGAAGATTATAAGCCTAAAGGACTATAAAAATTGGTTTGCATAATAATATGTCCACAACATTTACATTTACTTTAGTCATTTTGCAGACGCTTTTATCCAAAGCGACATACAATTGGGGAATACATAAAGCGATTCTTCTTAAAGAGGCAAACAGACACAGGAAGTGCTTGTAATACCAAGTTTTAGACATTGTTCAAATAACTACAAGCTAGGAAGGAAAGGAATAAATAAAGAGAAAGACAAAGTTTTTTTTTTTTTTAATTTAAGATGAAGTCAAGTATCGTTGAAAGAGATGAGTTTCAGCTGTCGCTTGAAAATTGTCAGGGATTCAGCATTCCGGATATGTGTGGGAAGATCCTTCCACCAGCCAGGAATGGTGAACGAGAATGTTCTGGAAAGTGATTTTGAGCCTCTCTGTGATGGTAGCATGAGGCGTCGCTCACTAGCGGATCTCAGACTTCTGGAGGGGATGTAGATTCGTAGTAGTGAGTGGAAGTAGGTGGGTGCTGAGCCTGTGGCTGTTCTATATGCAAGCATCAATGTCTTGAACTTGATGCGAGCCGCAACCACAAGAGAAAAAAGTACCATCAGATTTTTTTTACCTCATCCACTTGCTTAGACTTTACATAACTATAACACATCACTAATTTACCCAGGCTCGCTAGAATATTTAATAATCAATAGTTACTTATATATCTTTTGTACAATGGACACCATCACTTTAAGTCAAGGTTGTTTGAAGACCTAACCACAAGTTGTTTGCCTATATGTTTATTCAAATACTGAATCAGTTACAAAAATGCTAATGTAATGAATGGAGCCTGAAAAACAACAGACATGTTTTTTCAGTAACCCTATTCATGTGTGTCAATTCTGATAAAGTGGACCATCCCTTACAGTGGACCATAAACACAGTTTCTCCAGCCAACCCACTTCATGTTACATCACACACAATGGCACTCTTGTGATGAGACCTTTGAACAAACTCACAAAGCATTGTTTCTGCATTCATCATGAGGAATGCCTGGCTGTTTGTTAGATCACAAGTCAAAAGGTCAGTGATATGTGATGTGAGAAATGGTGGGACCAAGCACCGCTGAAGAGAAAGGATTATCTGTCTCCAATATTTCATCCATTTCTGATAGCAATGTATGACATGACAGTCTTAACCAAGGACAACCACAGGAAATTGACATCATGACGATGCCGATTGGCTGATGGCGCACAAGTATGTGCACAGTCTCCCTCCGCTTAGATTAGTATTTTCTCCTCCTTTTTAACCCTATAATGCCAAATGTACTGTATCGTATTGGATACATTCATTTTTAAGGCCTCCACATCAACACAATCAATACCTTCCTGAAAAACTACAATACTACATATTCTGCCCCCTAGTGGATTATTCACTCTCTTCAGGAAGTAGACAGACTTTTAGTGCCATTCCCAAAATGATCTATGTCACAATGTATGTACGCCTGCTGATTTTGACAACAGCAACAGCATTTTGATAACATAACACAATTTACATTGTTATTGATTAATATAAGAATATTTACTGTATTTAAGTAACTTTTGTACATTATTATATTATATATTTGCTTCAGTACTGTTTTCCTGATACCCAGTTTTGAGTTGCATACCACCAGCTGACAACCACTGGTACTTGCTATAATAAAACTATGGAGGCAGCAGTGTATCGACTCAAGGAGGAAACTTCCTTTTTCGCTTCTTATCAATGTCCCAAGAGTCCGTCACATGAGATAGCTGGAGTTCTCACAAGACAGCTCAGCGATATGCCGACAGTGATTCATACAGAGTAATGATGTCATCCTCGTCCACAGGGTATTAAACTTGGACATGTGCTCGGCATGAATAAATACACTGCAAAATCTTAAAATACATAATGTCAGATTATAAAATAAGGTTGTGTTGCAATTTGCTACTATATGTCTTTTTTCATGTGTATATTTATCTTGCTTTTATCTTTTTAATTTTAGCTCACAGACAAAAAGTGCAGGATATATGTACAATAACACCAGTGTGTTCTGACTTAACGGCAGGTTCCATGGAATCTGCACCTTACCCATCTATTTAAACAGCTGGACTGTGTACAAACCTCTACATGTCCTCTATTGTCACAAATGCACATACTCAAAATGTGCCAGCTCAGCAGTAGGGGATTCTGCAGACCGCAGACATGCAAGGATGCATTATTCATCTTTGGTGTTGTCTATAATGCACTTTTGAATTAATAGTATGTTAAATTCAGCATGAAATGAATATTCACTCCTTTATACAATACAGATTGTTTAAAAGCAGCTTCACATTAATAAACAGAAAAATAACAGTGATAATGTTGTAAAAATAAATCAATTACAAAAAAAAAGAGCTGTAAAGCAGCTCTACAGAAGATAATAGTGTCATTATTTGGCTTGATTTAGTTCAGTGTTGTTCAAATTCAGTTTAATAATTGTAAATGATGCAAAGTTCATCAATTTTGACACAAGTAAAGCAGCTTTGCTATTATTCAGCTCAAGTCAATCTTGATTCAATTCAGTTCAACAACAGTGTGATTTTGCAAAGTTAGTGTCATTATCTAGCTCAATTCAGTTCAAATTTTGTTCTTATCTGATAGTATAAGTGTTGTTAAGTCAATAATATTATCACAACTGGGCCTTGCAGTGAAAACAACAGACTTCTCTCTGACGTGTGCATGACTTCTCTGATCCGCTTGAGTTCATTTGCATTCACTTTTGAGTGGAATGCCCACATCTCAAAATCCATCAACAACTGATACAAGTCCCACACTACTTTTTTTTGATAATCTACTACACTCAGATATATAAAACAATACAGAAAAAACGTCTGTTTCTACTCCGTTTCAGTGCGAATTTAAAATAAAATACAGAGTCACCATGTGTAAATGACTGAAGCAAGGAATTCCATTGGCCACCTGATAATAGTGATGCCAAAACACAGTATAACCATGAAACACACAACAAAGAGGGTCATGTAACATGTCATTGTTCATTCACATACTCAAACCTTCAAAGCATGTGGTTTGACGTGCACAGATTCAAAAGATCTGTTCAACTCTGCCTTTACGTCTATAGAAACAAACACATAAAAAGCACAAGCTCCTCTTTCATCTTGTGAACATATAGTGTTTCATTTTTCTCATGCTGTTGTGTAATGTGTTCTCAAAAAGGGCAGAGGGCTTCATACAACACCTTTCACTTTCTGAGGACATTCTCACATGCCTTAGACGGGGAACCTTCAAATTCTAAATTCATGTGGACGGAGCTCCCTCCACCCAATATCCAGTGTCACTTCTGCTAGGAGGCCCCTGGGATTGTACATATGCCTCTGTCATCCCAGAGGGCCCAAAACCCCCTTTGGTTTGGAAAGACTACTGACAGGGTGCATTTGTACTGCAGCTCTCTCTCGGACTTGCATGGACTGCTAATGATGCTGAACTGTCTTAGAGAAAAACGGAGGGAAACGGAACACAGCCCATTTTTAAACTATCTAATTCTGGAAATGTACAAGGAAGTCGGAGTTGCATCTGTGCATCTGTGTCAGAAGTTCTGCTGGTTAGCACTGGATTAAAGGGATAGTTCACCCCAAAATTCATTGAATCACCTTCATATCATTTCCAACCTTTCATTCGTCTGAACCAGAGAAAAAGTAGATAATAAAAAATGTCTCAGTACTGGACTTCCACTGTATAGACAAAACCATTTGAAATGTATCAAAATATCATCTTTTGTGTTCCACTGAAAGTAATACAATGTCTGGAATGACATGAGGGTGAGTAAAAATGACAGAATTTTCTTTTTTGGGGTGAACTATTTTGGGGGGGGTTAACTGCCTGTGAAAGTGTCTCTTTGGGGTTTAGTAAGATCCCACTGTTTCCCAATGAGCCACAAAATTAGGGAGAGTGCACAGCCTCCTCTTCTGTCTTCTCTTCTCCTACCCCCACTCTAGAGAAAAGACCCCTTTTCATGGTGCCCCTGCCTTTGTTGCATGAACAGGAAGCAAACTTAGAGTATTAGTGTGCAAGAAAAAAAGTGAAATTGATAGACCAATAAACAGCACAACTCACCTTTTTGTCTTCAGTAGTACTTCCACAGGAAAGCTTCAGCACCTCCCAAGAAGGACTTTAATCCCAACAACCTCCCATGCACTTCCTGCTATGAAATCAGCTGCCTCCTTGAACACATCCTCATCCTCCATTTATCCACTGCTGCCGGACTGAGGCCTCTGAGAGGGCGGCAAATACCCTGTGCTGTTTACTTTCCCACAGGCAGCAAGTTCCCTACTCCGTGCACTAACGGCTCCACTCCTCCTTGCTCTCAGCTGAATCAGTCCCCCTCTTCCCCCGGCTTCTGTCACTCCCTTCTTTTCACTCATTCTTCCCTCCCCTGCTGTTGTACAGTTACAGCCCTTCTGAACAAGCATAATGGCTGTTAAGCTCCACCAATGGCTGAGCTGCTGGCAGACTTGTCGTCCAATTAAAGTCAAGTTAGATGACCAAGAGGCTGGGTCTAGAAGGCTAAAGGAAAAAACAGAGAATGGCAAGCCTGGAGAAGAAAGGAGAGAGGGAGAGAGAAAGACAGAAAGAGCAACAGGGATTACAACATCTCCAAGCTGGCCAAAGTGGAACAAAGAGTATTAGCTAAGTGGGTGACCATTCAGCATTGTGCAAACTCTGCAATACACAATAGAATTAGATATATCACAATACTTAAAATATTAATATATATAACTACATAAAAAATTCATGATTGTTTGAAAAACATTTTTTTAATAATACAATTTTGAAATATACATTTTCAAATATTTCAATTTACAATTTTTACCACATGATTTTGTCAACATTTTAGAATTAACTTAAAAAATTAAACCTTATTAGAGATTTATTTTATAATTCTTTTTAATTAAAACACTGGTCTTTAAAACATACATATGTATACATACATACATTAAATAGTTGTATGTAGATGGTATGTAACATTTCAGTGCCTAATTTCTTAGGCAAATTGTTGTATTCAGTTAAGTAGAATAAATACGAATTGCCAATTATGTACATATAGATTTATTAAACATTTACACAGAAATGTAAACATGAATATGGCCCATTAAGCAAAAACACAGAGTGCAAAGTGAAATAATTATAGATCCTAAAATGCTGGAACAAGAATTTCTAAAATTGTGGGAATTAATATCCATAAGGGTTGCTGCACCTGAATGGTCATCTTTATCGTGAATAATAATTTCCTCCCTCTACATCAGCGAAGGACCACCTACTTACCTGTTAATCATCCCCTGATCTAAAGAAAGCTTATACAGTTTGCAGATTACTTGCAGCTTTAAACAACAATAATCGTCCAATCGAAACATTTGGAAATGCACATTTATATGCACACGAACAAGAAGGTTCGATTAAAATTAAAGTACATTTAGAAGAACAGTTATCAACAAACAGTAACAGTGATGTGAATGATATATGTGCTCATATATATAACAAAATCAGACCCTTCACTAGAAGCCTGAAAAACAAGTGATCATGGGAGATACATTTGAGACGTATGTTAACACATGACCACTGGTGAACATTTCCCCCTATCAGAGACAGATCTTAATACCAGGGTTTAAATAGGGCCTATATAATATTATCCTCATAAGAAACTCAACTCAATTCTCTGTAAAATTAAAGGTGTGCAGTTGATGTTGCTGTTTTATCTTCATTGTTTGTAGTTCTCATGACTGGGGAATGAAACTGTAGTTGTCATGATCAGAGCTATAACACCTGAACCTAATAATTGCATATTACACGTTTCCATGACAACTGATTATCAGGAAACAACAGGTAAATGGCAGGTGCAGGCACTATAAAGGAACAGTTTAGTAACGCTAATATGTGTTGGGGTCTAATGTGTGTTTTATGGTTCTGTAGTGGTGGTGTTGAGGTAGAGAACTGGTGTATTTCTAGCTGGATATGGAGGACACCACTATACGTTTCTTAAGGTATGATTGTAAATCACTTTTTTTTTATCTTTGTTTGGTTCTTCTATCAAATACTAAAGTCTTTTTTACAGAATTTATTTGGCCTTTCTCAGTCTCTGTGTCCATGGTCAAATTGGAAGTGGTAATTTTTTTTTTTTTTTTTTTTTTTTTTTTTTTTTTTTTTTATTTTTTTTTTTTTTTTTTTTTTTTTTTTTTTTTTTTTTTTTTTTATTCAGTCAAGTTCTGTAATCCAAGTTTATCAACATGTCCCTTTGACTTATTTTTTCCCCCCCTTTCTCCTTAGTTGATGGCTTTGTCCGCAGTGGAGGTTATCCTGGATCCTATGAGGCTGGTACCCCTTTGCAGGATGTTGTGAAACCACAAAATTCCAGCTGGTATGGCCAAGGAGCTGTATCTGGTTCCATTGAGCCTCTAAGATCCAAGAATATCCCTTACAGTGCTGTAGTTAGGGGTGTATATAGCAGTGCAAGCTATAGCCCTCAAACAGTCTCTTTTGGCTCTGGTCCAGTGACAAGTGTTCATATGTTTGGTTCTGACTCCAGTGCTAGAAACCAACTTCAAGGTTCTCCGATATCTTTAGCTGGTAGTGGCCATCTTGTTTCTGGTTCTGTGGCAACTGCATTGGGTACAAGTGTGAACCGTGCGTCCGTACCCCAGCTAGCACGGTTCAGTTCTCAAAATATTGTGCAGACTAGTAGGGAGTCCGTAGTGTCTAGTAGACAGCAACCAATGCAGACCAGCTCCCAGTCCAGTGACCAACAGCCATTTAACAAACCCCAGAAAGGTAGACTTGCGCATGTTGGTTCAGAGTTCTTTTTTGGTACTAGGCCAGTCCAGACTTCAAGTTCTGGTTTTATATTCAAGCCTGTGCAGTGACAAAATCCGTCCTCCCTACCTGGTTACCAGTTAGTGCAGGGCAGCCATGGGTCACATTATGAATCCAGAGTTCAGGCCAGCAGTGTACAACCAGCACAGGCAGGCTACCAACCTATGGCCCAGCCCAGCATCCAACAGTCAAATCAAGCCAGCAGCCAACGTTCTGAGCAAGCCATCTCTCCATTTGTGGACGAGTCTAGTGGCCAGCAGACAGCACAAGCCAGCTACCAGTCTATGCAACAGCCTAGTGGCCAAAAACCAGGACTGACCCGATACCAACCTGTCTGTAGTGACCCAGTGGCCTGCAGTCAGCCCAAACGCTCTACCAGATTGTGCCCCAGCCTGGTGGCCAAAAGCCAGGACGGATCCAATACCAGCCCATCTCACAGCCTAGTGGATTGCAGTCAGCTCAAGGCAGCTACCAGTCTATGCAACAGCCTAGTCGCCAAAAACCAGGACTGACCCGATACCAGCCTGTCTTTCAGCCCAGTGGCCTGCAGTCAGCACAAACCAGCTACCAATCAGCCCAAATCCGCTACCAGTCTGTGCCCCAAACTAGTGGCCTGCAGTCAGCACAAACCAGCTATCAGTCTGTGCCCCAACCTAGTGGCCTGCAGTCAGCTCAAGCCAGCTACCAGTCTATGCATCCACCTAGTGGCCAAAAACCAGGACTGACCGGATACCAACCTGTCTCAACCCAGTGGCCTGCAGTCAGCACAAGCCAGCTACCAGTCAGTGCAAGCTCACTACCAGTCTGTGTCCCAGCCCAGTGGCCAATCGGTGTCTCTTCCGCCTGGATTCCAGCTGTCTTCTATGCCAGAGCAGTCAAGTTATGCGTCTTTCCAGTTTTGGTTCCCAACCCCTAGAGCAACCCAGTAATGTACGACTTGCTTCAAGCTATGAGTCCGTGTTGCAGCCTGACCTTCAGGATACTGCGCTCCCAGACTACTCGAAACGAGCGCTTGTCACCAGGCATGTTGAGGCTGTTGCAGCAAGTGACGTCATAGCTGCGTAGTTGATGTAACTTCATTTAGTCTGGGTTTTTTTTTTTTTTTTGCGTTCACAAAACAATAAATCGCTTAATGTGGTTTGGGTCCTTTTTCGGCAATCTAAATTGGCAAAGGCTTTAATGTGGTCTACTGATGCATTAATATTTAATGTTAGGTGTATGATGTCTTCTAGGAAGGGGTGAAGAAACGCTTGTCTACTGGTAGTTCGATATATTTGACCAGTGAAGTTCTATTGTTGGTACATTTACCTTGCTTGTCATGGTGTGTGTGTGGGGGTTGTGTGGTTTTTTTTTTTTTTTTTTTTTTTTTTAAAAACCGCTGCCTTTTTTTT